TTAACTCTCTTCCTCTCCCGAATGTCTTACCATATTGTAATGTTCGTGGGTTTAACAAATTAACTTTTAAGAAGAAAACTATTTATTTACACTAATTATTATTGAACTTAAAAACACTATTAATTTATTACTAAACTTCTGCAACGGTCAATTTATTTCTACTCCACTCGGAGATCGTCTCTTTCTTTGAATACTCCCTTGCCTTCTTTCAGGAACATTCTCGAGCCGTCCAGAGAAGTCTCGTTTTCTTCGAACGGTTTAATTGCCTTCCCGGAACGCAGGTACGACACACGTTTACAGATACGGCACACATGAAGAAAAGCGCCCGCGGCTAGTCGGCGAATCGATAAGCCACTCACACACACGTATGGCCGATCGCACACAATCACGCTCGTGGTCGCTACAATATACTTGAAAAGGTCGAGTTTGGCTGTTCATTTACGAGCTTGAACTGTTTGAGCCGAACTTTCAAGTTGGGTTATTATCTGAATCGACTGGAATTGACTGGGTGCCTAACCCAATTGAGTGGGTGCTCAGGCACCCGTGGACTACCCCTTGTTGCGCCCCTGTAATGTTGTTGTAATGTTTCCGTATTAAATAAAATGTGAAGGAACTAAAATTTTCTTTAAATGCATAACGGCTGCTCAGTTACTTTAGTTATTTTTTAAAGGGAAACATGCGACGTCTGAGTCACGACTGATTGAGCAGTAAATTGCTGGAAATTGGAAAAGCTATAGTTAGGACGTTCAAAGTTGACATAGGCCGCAATAAAACTGTCGCATTTACTTTCTTCGTTCAACTTGTTGGTAGAATACCTACTTTTATTCACGACAGACGTTGTAGGGAATGTCGTAAACATAGATAAGAGACATCAGGTAGGAATTGCAGCGGGCACTAATAAAGAAAAAAAGAGTAACATTACACCAATTAATGTGTAACAGAAGGAGATGCAGATACCCAGAATTTTAGAATGTTGCCAGAAACGAACTGATGCTATGCTAAGCTAAGATATAATTCCACACAGTTATAAAGCCTACCCTGATCTTTTGCGTACCTAAACCTCTAACCGCTGCACCGCTTACTATTATTCGGTTATTTCTTTATACTTTGTTTATAGATATGTTACAAAAGGGAGTTCAGGGTTGGAATGCACCCCCTCTTTCCCCTTGATCTATCGAGAATGTGACGTCATCTACATAAGCATAGTGCATGGCGCACCCTAAAGCCTACAAGCTAAGAATAATAAGGGAATTTTGAGGCCTAGTTTCTGTGACAGTCTCTATAATACCAATCGATAACTGTATGTTGTGCAATTAGTGGAATATGTTCTTTCGCCATGCGTTTTCCTTTGATTTCATGATGACATTCAAACAGTTTATTTAGCCGTTTTCTCTCGGCTTCCCTGACTCCAAGTTCTGTATGAGACACGTCGAAATTAAAGCTTTTTTGAAAAATTAAGTTTTTTTTATGCCCAACATCATCATTCATTACGCTTGACATTTCATAGTACTGAACTTCAAAAATACGAAAATTATGAGTTGGGACGTTGGAAGTTTTAAAACATAATTCGAGTGTTTACACGGTTGCAGGCGGTTTTTCAGAAACTGTTAAGTTCATTGAAAAATGAATCGATATCTACGGGAGATGAAGTAGGTGAGGGAAGTAGTTCCCCCAATTCCACTGCTGCCACTCGTTGAGAAATTGTAAATGAAAATGAAAAAAAGAGCCCTCTACGTACGGAATTTCAGCATGAAAGAGACTTTAATTCTGGAAATTAGGCCATATTTACATAGTAGTTTTCTCTACCAATGAAATTTAAAATAAAATATCAGTTTAGGTGTTTTTATAATTCTGCAAATGTTTAGGATTTTTGGTGGTGATTTCTGATATTTAAAAAGAATTAAAGTAATACCTACAACGCCTGAGGAAGTAAATGTTGGTATATGCATATGAAAATTTGATTCTAGTCTCTATTAAAATCCATCTTTCGCGAATCTAGACAAATTACTCTAGAGGACTCCCGAAGCCAGCAAGAACAAGAAATAGCGATTTATAAAATACCACAAATGGCGCGGTAAACGCCATCTGTAGTACGATGCTACATTTTTGGATTACGTATGCTCCAACAAGGACCTGTTAAGATAGCAGGTAAAAGTTGGTCTGTGTTCTGTCGAAGCTGTCCGAGACGCGCTGATGAGATCCAAAAAGGTAGAAATCGCGATCTGCGTCTGGCAGTTTCGACAGAATACAGACCACTTC